TTTTTTGTCAAATTGGAAATCGGAAAAAAATCATCGGTGGCAAATCACGAGAGCTGTCCAAATCCGGTCTCAGATTTTGTGTCTGCAAAAAACACCGCCCTCCAGAAAGTAAGCAAGATTTCTTGAATATCTGAACATATCGAGCGAAGGACGAAAAAAAAAAATAATCTCCGTACGAAGATGCGCCTTGAAACGTCGATTTACGCGGTATTTTCAGATTTCGGAATAAGTAACCCCACCCCGAGAAAAGTGCACCTTTGTACAGGGGAAAATATTGTGAATATTTGCCCCAACGGACCATATGTACATGCTAGCTTCGGTCATCGCTGCTCGCTCGCAATAAGCGTGGAGATTACCAATTGGATTTCCATTATTAACGCGGCCGCCACCCCGCCCCTCTCTTGTTTTCACGTTCTTGCAGAATCCCGAGCACCTGCTGATCTTCTCTGCGGGAAACGACGGCGGGTATGATGACATCCCCAACCGCGAGGCCTGCACAGTTGGATCTCCTGCCCTCGGCAAGAACATTCTAGCTGTGGGAGCCACGTCCTCTGGTCCCTTTCCAGGAACCCGAACCGGAGACGACGGGAACCTGTTTTGCGAGGAGGTCGGCGTGACCGACTATTCTCCCGAGGGATACCCCTGGATTTGCTTGATGCCTGTTCTGGGGGCGCCGCCCGCATCGACGGAGCCAGCGGGGGTCGATACTGTCGGGTATTTCAGCTCCCAGGGTCCTACCCTAGATGGGCAAATCAAGCCTGGCGTCGTTGCTCCCGGGAATCAGGTTAGAGCGTTTTTCGCGATGGCAATCTGTCTCCGTATTTGTAGAATTTCGCAATTGTCTGCCGGTTATTGTAGCTTCTCCCACAACACGCCGTAAAGGTGAAATCGCAAGACGATGGGATAGCACCCATGCTGCGTAGGCACGAGTTTGTTTCGGCAAGACCATGACGGTGGTGGATGTGTCATCACCCGCAAGGCACACATGTGCCTGATGTCCCCTATGTGGTTTGTGCCCATTTCGAGTAAGCTTTCAATACACATCCGTAGCCCTTACTTTGGACAAGTTCGATGACAGTCTCTCTTTCCCTCTTCTCGCGCAGGTGGTGGCTTCCGCATCAAGTGACGGGACCGATGAACACAGCTGCAAACTGGGTAAGTCGAGCACCACCTGCTACATACTCCCAACCGTTGCCGCGATGGTATCTCAAATGCTTTACTCACTAGCGGTTGCATCGCAGATTTTGCAGAACAGGAAGGCTTTTCGAGCAACAGCCCACACCCTGGACACCTCCAGTTTACCACATATGAACACTGACAACGACCCTTTTCATCCCTTCCCTTTCCCCTCTTGTCGTTGTTCGTCTCTTTCACCCACGCATGTTCAGTCGCCTGTAGCGGGACCTCCGTTTCCTGCCCCCTGGTCGCCGGTGCCGCTGCCCTGGTAATTTGCACACATGAAGCAAAGTGCAGATATGCGAGTTGGCTGCAGTTGGTGATCGATTGTGCTGCAACGTGGTAGGATATTTACGCTTGCTGTCCCATCTACCATTCTGCGTTTGACGTCCCACCTTCTGACCAAATTGTTGTGCTGCCCTGAAGTCTCAACATTTGATCTTTGATGTGCATTTCGATAGGTTCGGCAGTACTTCAAGGACCCGTCGTTTTTCGCCAAGGATGTAGTCTAGACTAATGTCTCGGGGGGGCTGTGCTGAACAGTTGAAAGAATTGAGGTTTCGCAGACAACGACTCCACGGAGTAAGTGTGGATGAGTCACTCGCTCAGAGTCTAGCAGAACCGCACATCGATTTACTTAGGTTGAAGAACACATCCATTTTCCACCGACCGGGCGAACTTCCCTTACTCCCTGAAGTGCGAGAAAAGCCGTAAATCCCTTCTCCGACCAAGTAGGTACCGCCGTCTGCTATCCTCACGCGCCCCTACCATGCCGGGGAGGGAGGAATACCAATCATGGAGGCACCTCCTCAAAGGCATTCAAATACACTGATTGTCAGGCGTGGGGGCCCACAGGTTTCGAGGACCGCCTATGATACCGCTTAAGGCGGAACAGTCCATGTACCTATGTAGCTGAGGCTAACATGTACGAAACTTGAAAATCTAGAGACGAGCGATCATGTGCGTACTATGACTCTGTGCACCACCCTCGGCGAAGCTGTGTGATTCCATTGAGTACCGATCAACAGAAGCAGAGCCGCTGCAGCTCGACTCTGTACTATCCGTTGAGGCAGTGCCGGCCAGAACTTATTATGTCAGCTACCCGAGAAAGTCAGGGCAGTATTGAGCTGCATGTTTTACCTGTCTGTCCATCCTCAATTCCTTAATACTCTTCAGGCCATGATCATCAACAGCGCGCACCTGATGGGTAGCAGCAGTGAACCGAACGGCGTTCGTGGCTTTGGCCGAGTACACCTCGAGGCGGGCATGCCCATGGACGGCGTCAGTGTAACCGGCCTTCTCGTTGTCGAAGCAGCCATCGCTGACGGCGAGATTACCGAGCTGGTCACGGTCGACGGGAATGCTGAAGTGTAGCTCCGAGCAACGCTCGCCTGGCTCGACCCCCCAACGACGGCCTTATCGGCCAAGCAGCTTCAGCACGACCTTGACCTACCTGTGATACTCCCAAGCGGTACCAAGTACACCATGTGGGAATTGGGTGAAGATGACACCGTCAATGTGGTGGAGCGTGTGATCGTGCCAGTTGAATCGATGGAGAGTGGCGTGTGGAGCGTAGTCGTGTCGGCCAAGGCACTACTTACCGATGACCAGTTGTACTCGTTGGTGGTAACGGGGGCTATCTACAGCTGGAAGTAGAGCATGCAAACGTCATCGTTCTCGCCCCCGCCTCGCTGGTCGTTGTCTACTGGTCAGCTGGGTGTGCGTTGCAGGGAAAATCGGCTTTGCTTCGGTAAAGTCGGTGTTGTTTTTGTTTGTGTTTGATGAACAGTGGTACTCGTTGGTGGTGACAGGGGCTACCTACAGCTCCAAGCAGCGCATGAAATCATCATCGTTCTCGCCCCCGCCTCGCTGGTCATTGTCTACTGGTCAGCTGGGCGTTCGTGGCAGGGTCTCCCGGGGTGAGAATAATCGGTTTTGCTTTGTATTTGTTCGGTGGTACTTTGTTTGTGTCTGTCGGCTGGAAAGAGGCGGTGGTCGTTTCTCTTGCCTATTGTGTCCCCCTTCTCTCGTGTATTGTGTGTTGATTGGAGAGAAGAGCCAAGTATATAGCGACATGGAGACTTGAGTGTGTTGAATAAAGGGAGGAAAATGAGGGAACCATAACGGCTTGGCTCATTGACAGAGACAATCGGGTGCAAACGGAGTACACCCCCTCATCAGACGAAGCAAAAAAGGTTGTGCATCAACACAACAACCCGTTCTATATCCCAAAATAGCCCCAATATGCCCCACAAAATCGCACAGTATGAAAAATCGAATATTCCCTCACAAACTAAGGAGCCATCAAGACACAGACAGATGCCTGAGACGGGAATGAAACCAGAATCGAAGCGCCCCAAAAGCCAGACGCCGCAAGCGACACTTGGGACAAACAGGGCATACACAAGAAGACCGTCGATCCCACTCGAATATGCAAGGCCAAGCGAAACAAAAAAGGTACAACAACCAGAACGAATACACCCCCCTCGCATGATCTCCGCATCGCAAACATACCCTGTTGTAGCCCTGCAGGCCACACTGTACTTGTAAAGCTCCATTTTTTTCGAGGGCATTCTGCCATACAACCCAGCGACGCCCCCAAGCTGCCCCTGAACTGCTTGGGGTACGCTTGGCCTACTGCAAGCCTCATAGGCTACACACGCGCACCCACTTCTCTCTCCTGGAACAGCAGCAACACCAACAGTGGACCGAAATTGCCATATGTTTCACACCACTCAAGGGCTACAAGCGCAGGCCAAGTGTTGACGCGTCCTGCTTGCCTGGTGCAATTTGTTTTCTGCACTACACAACAACTATAATACCATCGTCGG